ACGCACACTCTGTCATTGAGTAAATCTGTCCTGGGCATGCACACACAGAGCAAACCTCCACTGCTTGAATAGACCACATTATCGGTACAACGCACAATGAGTTCTGGTAACTCATTCCTTTAAAAAAGATGCAACATCTTCTTCCACAGTCCCTTGGTGTAAAGTAGTATCTTTATCCATTTTTAAGTCCATAATCCGAAAAGTTTTTTTCACATTATTTATACACAGTCTTTGGTATTAATATGTCTTTATCTGTTTAAAGAAGGAAATCCTAAAAAAAACTCAAATACCATGTGACTGTTTTTATGTAACTGCTTCACCGAATAAAGAAATCAGTTAGAATGGAAAAGGAGCACCTGAAAGTAAGTAGCAGCCCTACAGAAACTTTTAAAATAAAACTCTTGAGAAAAGCAAATTGACCCTGAGAAACACTTTGCAGACTGTGCAATAACTGAATCTAATGTGCTCAACACTTGGATCCACCTGTTCTCGTGAAATAATTCCAAATTATGTTCTGCATATCTTTCTGCTGTTGGAAATGTGGAGATGTGCATGAAGACAGAACATCAGGATTGGATTAGTTTTATTTCATTACACCTGCATTGAAATAAATGTCTTTTAAAAAGCATGCCAACATAAAAAGTATACGTGACAGTCATTTGATAACTAATTCAAACTTGTTTCTAACACCATGAACAAATTTCTATGCAGAGCTTCGACTTAGGGTAGTGAGCCTTCTGACTTTGTTGCAAATTAGAAACAAGAGACTAAAGAACATATGAGATGCAAATACAATGAGATGTTCCTTGAGTTCAAAAGTGTTACTGCCAAATCTTTAAAAAATCCAAACAGCTACATTTATCTCTAAGTGCTGTCTACCTAAACCATGAGCCAAATACAGGAAATGACATCTGGAAACCATTCACAAGGAATACATTGAGAAACAGCAACTATTTTTCAGCAGCAAAAGGAGAATGTTAGGAGCTTTGCATGATATGCATATATTAGCTTTTTATGCGCTACTTATGGATAATAGTATTTTTGAAAACGATCTGTTCTGTCTCATGCTTCCTGAACATGGAATGACAGACGGAATATTCAGTGTGTTACAGGCTGCATTGAGAACGATGTTTAAAATTTGCACTGATCTTGCTCCATTCTATGTTGGATGAGAGTCAGGCCTGCATACCTTGATGAAGAGAGTTGCTCCATCTACTGTTTGGACTCCCTGCATTATTCCCAGGGTAAAATTAGCACCTGGAATACTGAGCACAGAAGTAGGTTAAATAGGTAACACAGTGTGGAGCTGGAGGAACACAGCAGGCCAGGCAACATCAGAGGAGGAGGAAAGCTGACATTTCGGGTCGGGACCCTCCTGAGGATCCGAAACTATGTTCAACTTTACCCAACTTCTGCATGTCTGTTTCCAGAACTATGTGAAGACATGGGTCTGATCATGTGATGTTACTTCAAACTGATTGAGAGAAAAAGTAGTGCAAAGGTTTTGTTTGAAATTAAGATCAGCTGTTTGTATTTGCACGCATTACATAAAAACAGAATTTGCTGATTTTCTTTGTGATAAAAACAAGATCTGTCCCTTAATGCCACAGACAGATTTGGGAAACTAACTACTAATACACAAAGAAAGAACAGCTTTCTTCAACTAAATGATCAATCATAGCATTCATGAAGAAACTCACATTTTGGAAGAGTAAAATGCTGAAGTTGAACTGTGCCTCCTTCTCCCAATATTCCGAGTTTCTGTCCAACAATAAAATCAATGGCCCATTTGCGAAAATTGAAGATCTGAGCCACTACTTTCCATCCTTCTTATCTGGCTAGACATGAGAAAATTTAATTGTGTCTGAAATCCCTTTTAATGTCTGCCTGCTAATGTGAAAAACTTGCAACTAAAACTGAATTGTTTTTGAAAGTTCATGTGTTCAATTTATGGGATAAAAAAGCTCTGGATTGTTTCTCTGTCAAAAATCTGGTTCAGTGTGAAGATCAACTATCCTCACATTGCAACACATACAATGAAAGTAATGAGACAACAAGGTGCAGGGCTGGATGAACACAGCAGGTCAAGCAGCATCATAGGAGCAGAGAGGCTGATGTTTCGGGCCTAGACC